GCCATCTTTTTCCGGAAGCCCCCAAAATTTCTTATGCTACCATTTTCTTAAATAAGAATTTGGGGGCGGGAAAAAAAAGCTCAAGTGTTCTCCCTGATATTCAAATAACCCACAAAAAATCCTGGTAAAGTTTTCTATTCCAGAATAACATTAGTTGAAAACAAACTGGTTTGGTGCTACAGGATAACACTGAACTGTTAACTACAAGGTGGGTGGGTTCAAACCCATCAGCCACTCCTGAGAAACCCCATACAGGGTTCCTATGAGTTGGCACCAACTTGAAGGCACTTAAAAACAACATAGCACAAATGAGGGCGGTGTTACAAAATACTTTACAATTATATCTCCAAGAGGCACTGCCAGGGCTCCGCTGGTTCAAGGCAGAACTAGCTGTCCAGATACAAGGAGTGTAGTTGGCTGCCAGCCTCCAGCTGTGGCTGAGGGCTTGCTCCTCTGCTGGCTGCTGGTCAAGGGCTGAGCGCTGAGGTGGGGCTCAGACTGGACCTTTCTGCCCTGAATGGGACTCCTCTACAAGCTTAGCTCAGTCACCTCAGGTGAGCAGACTGTCGAATCTGATGACCACCCCCCTTACCTGATCTTGCTTCCTTCCCTGGTCATCCAGAGGTGCCACTGCCCATCAGACCTTTTGCCCACCTCACTACATGTCAGTATCTACTTCCAGAAGCCCTGCCTGTGAAAAGCATCAGCTCATCATGAGAAACATTACCCAGGTTCCAGTTTGGGGAGCAAACACTGAGCTAAGTTCTCTGAGAAATACAAAGATGTGTGGGACCATCCCTTCAGTTAACATGTATGGAGTCTTCTCTAGGTTCAGCCCTGGGAGTATGGAAGACGTGGTCCCAAATCTCAAGAAACAACTGATTGCAATTCAAAAGTAACAGTAGATGAGCTGGACTTAAATGAATCAGAGAAGTGGTTTACAATGATGGCGGTGACAGGCCACAAGGTGATCAGTAGTCCAAAGTTAAACTTCCATAATAAACCAGATTTTCTAGCAAAAGCTAAATGAAGATGACAATCAGTATACTCCAACCCTGTAGTATTCAGTATTCTAATTGATTGCTTTTTCCACAACAGTGATTCCTGTATGTCTTCTACAACGCAAGTGGTTTTTAGGCACAGAATGATTACCAATTCTAGGGCACAGCCAGAAGGTCTATACTTTACAAGTCTAAGATTTGTGTTTTCTCTGGCTCTTTAGCTGTAAGTCCCTGTCTCATCTAACTGTATCTGCACCACACTTACAATGCTCCATTTTGTACATGTTGTTGCAGGTAAGAATTATGCTCAGTATCTTAGTAATATCTTACAGAAATTAACCTAGAGCTTTGCATCTGTTGTTGTTGGTAAGGGCCATTGAGTCAGCTCCAACTCATAGGGACCCTGTATGTGTGTTTCCAAGGAGTGGCTGGTGGGTTTGAACTGCTGACCTTGCAGTTAACACTCCAGTGTTGACCCTACAGCAGCAGCACACCAGAACCTCCAAGCTAGCCAGTGTTGTTGCTATTGTTGAGAGCCATCGAGGCAATTCCGACTCTTAGAGACCCTGTATAGGGTTTCTGAGGAGCAGCTGGCGAGTTGTCGTCCAATGTATCATCCTGTTGTTTAATAAAGTTTAATAAAGAAAAAAGGGCATTTGATAATCTGCTTTTCTTTCTTCTTATTCAGCAAAACAGTTTAGTAGAGTGCACTGAAAGTGAAACAGGAATAATACAAATCAAATGCATGCATATATATGTTCTTGTTGTTGTTAAATGCCATCGAATCTGTTCTGACTCAGCGACACTGCATAGGCCCAAGATATTAAATTCTTGTGGGAGCAGAAAGCCTCATCTTTCTCCCACAGAGTGGCTGGCAGCTCGAAGCCCCTGCAGACCTTGTGATTCAAAGTCCAGTGCTTATCATATGGAGCCACTGCACTCATGTATATATGTGTGTTGTTGTTGTTAAGTGTCATCAAGTAGGTTCTGACCCATAGCGATCCTATATATGGTTCTGGCTGGTGAACTTGAACCACTGACCTTGCAGTTTAAACCGACCTTGTAGTCAAGCACATTGACACACAGCACCACACCAGGACTCCATATATACATATATACATATATATATTTGTTGTTGTTGTGATGTGC